GGGGGGTTGCATTTCTCTGATGGCTGTGGTGGGGTCTGGCCTCTTCCTATGTGGAGAGGGCGGCCTCTGTTCTTGTGTTTGTATGGGGGGTTGGGAAACAGGGGGTGCGGGGGGTTGCGTGGGCCGCACTTCGGGTTTGGGTCGATGTGCGGGGGGTGCCTGGGGTTGTGGTTGTGGCTGGGGCCGGCGCGGGGCGGCCGCGGCAGCCGCGGTGGGTGTGGTCGCATTCTCAGGCGAGAATAATGAAGGGGGACGCGTTCTTTGAGGAACCACTTCTGGTTGTGAGGGGGGAGGGTGTGAGGACGCCGTTGTGGCTGTGGCAGTCACTGTCGAAGTAGAAGGCCCCGGTATAGGAGGCCGATGGTGTCTGTGGTCGTGGGGGGGTTTCTGATGGTGGGGTTTGTGGGGAGGCCAGGGATGATGTTGTTTGTGGTGGTGTTGGCTGGACGGTCGGTGGTGGGGAGGGGGTTGTTGAGCATTTGGCCTGGGCTGTGGGGCTCCAGGCCTGGCCTGTTGTTGCTGTTGTTGCAAGGCTTGTTGCCTTCTCTCTCTCTCCTCCCGCCTTTCCCGTTCTTCCCTCTCCCTTTTCTCCCTGTACAGGTTATAGTCTATTCTCTGTGGTTGTGGCTGTGGTGGCGCTGCTGTCGTTGCAGGTACGTAGCCACCGGGGACCGGTTGACGTCTTCTTTCTCTTTCATATTCTGTTGATAAAAATGTTAATGAAATACCTATACAAAAATTGTATCGGAAGGGACTTTTATAGACACCTATAGTTAAAGCCAAAATTAAAGAAAAATGCCTCCATATGGATTACAACGAATGATTCAGTATAATATATAAGTATCAATAAGTATCCATAAAACAATTCATTTTGTGATATGTTCACTCCGGAATGTAGATTGCTATGAAGAAAAGAACGAGCAAGAAACTCTATGGGAGTGTTACATAAAAAAAAAACAACTCTTAAACACAACAGAATAAGCTTCCAAATACACAAAACATACCTTTGTCAAAGGATTTGTCAATATCATCTGCGCTGGACGGATGCTTCTTGTCAAACGGTGAGTTCGCTACGCCCGAGCCGGACGCGTTTGGCAACGAGTGAGGCGAACTTCCGTCTGCTGTAAGTATTAAAATATAATTATTACCTAATTCTTGCCCTTCTTTGAGGTGAGAAAAATCATCCAATGAATTGTTTCCCACCTCGGGTAAGGCGAGAGGAAGTATCAGACTCTTACTGACCAAAAACCACACTGTTCCTACTCCTACTTCGAGACGGATCCCCGGTACCGCTTGGCAGACTAGACTACATTTTGCCCGCAGGGGTCATACAGATAAATTGCCGTAAGAGATGACTCATTTTACAGAAACTTAACAACAGCACTTTATTTTAAACCTGAACTTTTTTTTTAATATGCAACAAAAATTTTCATTTGCAGAATAAAAAAATATTTCTAAAAATTTTTCCTAAAATTTCTAGTTTCAAGATTAGCACGCAGGCAGGAATTGGGTCTAATATATGACTATTACATCGGACATATAACTTAACTGGCGATACTTGGGTAAACACACGGCTACACAAGCTATGCAAAACCAGTATAAACTAAGCGTCGAATGTAGAGAAATATCGTACAACACGAGACCACGATGAACTGGTTTTATATAACTCAACGTGTAATTAGGTACTTGCCAACCAGTCAGATTCAATTTGTTTTTCTAACTGTCAAAAATGACATTTTTCTATGAATTTTGTACGAGATTGTGTATTGTGACGTCACGTTTTTTCAGCGTCAAACAGCTTACTTCTTTATTGAAAAATTTCTGGAAAAATACTTAAATTAACTTAGTCATAAAATCAATTACATTTTATTATATTGAACAGTCGAAATAATTTATTTTTGATTAAGGCAAGTACCCAATTGTATGTGTGGCATAATACGCACAAAAAATGATATTTTTTGACCTACTTACCAGCTTTAACATTCATCATCTTCCTTTTAAGTCTTGAAGGACATTTCTCGAAGATAAGTAGGAACTCAGCGGTCAGTTTCTCCAAGAGGTCCGTGGTCACTGACCGGTCAACGTAGGAGAACCAATGACGACCCTCGTTTGACTGTGGTATCTGTTTGTACCGGGATTGTTTTATATAGTGATAATTTACTTGTTTTAGGTACAAACTAGCTGACAAGACGGATCAACTGATGGTAAGCAATCGCAATACCAGAAAAGGTTTTCAGAGCCGAAGTGTTACAGATTGATGCAGAATAAATGCTATATATAATTGTATCCGAGTTGTAGTGGATATAAAACGATAGGTACGCCATCTATTAGCCGGGATTGTTAAAAAAACTAATTTAAATAATACCTATTATTTCTAGCGGTATTCTTGTTTATTATCATTGTCATCAAATATTGTGCCGTGCCTAAAGGCTACTTACTATTCCTAAATACGATGATATTATATGGTAAAAAGGTAAAGAAAGGGTACTTAAATAACATTCGATCTTCGGAAACGGCACACTGACGCACACATGAATATGCTGACAGCGCAACACAACTCTTCAGGTAAGATATGGCCAATAGGGTAGTTGCCAGTGTATTTAATTTAAAAATGTAATTAGTCAGTTAGATAATGAAAAAAAAAATAAGACAATTATTTTTTTTATTTTCTCGTATAAATTTACAATACTTAGATAAAATGGCGTTAAGTTTAGGAGTGGGAGGTCGTTACGTCACAACGTGCTATAAAACATTACACGCTGTGACGTCACACTACATTTCAAATTAATATATCGTCGAAAGTATTTAATTTTGTGAGAAAAGAAAAACTATGTGTATAATGTTTCAAATTAATCTACCAAGCGGACATTAATATAAAATTTAGGAAACTACCCTATTCTCCGCATTTTAAGGTACCACTTTCTGAGCGTTTACAACCTATCTAGATCGACACCTTTTTAACTTATAACATCATTGTATAAATACATAATACCTGAAAATTCAATATTCTAAAAAAATCTAGAAAAAAAGAGATCTCTACTTACCGCCCAGTTACTCCATTTTGAGGCTAAATGTATACAAAAACATGCGACGACCGTTGGTCTGTACTGTAGGCACATTGTCGTCAAATGCAGACTGTTTGACGCCATAAAGTAAGATGTCTGGGCAAGATCCTTAGGCGCTGTGGATGAAGACATCACATAATCAGTGATTGTAGTCGATTTCCTATGTGAGGTGCGAATTTGAAGGTTATTTCATGTTGGTTTTGGGTTTAAATTAGGTTGAGTATAAATATCGCTACGGAAATGTTGAAAAATGTATTAAATTACTGTCCTTGTTTAGAAAAAGCGTTACTATTTTGAAATAATAAACCTGATCTATATCCAAAACCAAAAAAAATATCCATATTATACAAACATGTTTCATTCATATTACATTTGATGGAATAAGCTAAATATTTTAACAAGCACACATAGGTAATGGTTGAAAACTACGTAATTATAGTTTTTTAATTTCAGTCAATGAAAGTACTTTCTATAGACAACGTACAATCGACAAAATTGATTAGTAACCAGAGGGCCAAGCACGAATAACTATCGCATTCGTATCGTAACAGTATCGAGCGAGTTAAGCGTTCTGATTGGTTGGTTCTCTTGAGCCGGCCAATCAGAGCGCCGAACGCGCTCGATACTATTACGTTACGAATGCGATAGTTATTCGTGCTTGGCACTCAGGTAAGCATAGCAACTTCTAGATTATTATACTGTTAATACATTGATATATATTTAAATATGGTGTACAAAAGTAGTCAGAAAAAGGTCTACATACATATATTGAAGTTATGGTTGCTAATCTCATTTGTAGATTGTACAATTGACAATCCACTAAAAATAAGAACAGCATTATATTGTTCGAAACTTATCAGTAATTTGGTAGTTCTACCTGGAATGTTTTCCAGGAGTGTAGAAAATTGGAAACTTCGTAGATTTTGATGTGCTCTTATCGATTTCCATTTTGCACCATTATGCGTTCGCCACTCGCGCCGCCATCTTGGAAAAATGGCGGCCAAAAACAGTTTTTTTCTACAATATCTCATTTCTTGAGTATTCTACGAGAAAACCGTCAACTACAAAATTAAAGTACTCAGAATTTTCTACAATAGATAGTTTTTTTGTAATATAAGTAGTATTGGCCATAGAGCACCGCAAAGTATCTACATTTTAAGAACATTTTGGAAAAAAATGAGCACATCAAAATGTAAAAAAGCCGATTTTCAAAACTCCCGGAAAACTTCAGGTAACCCCATATTTCCTCCTTAATGATCGGATAATATAAGTACGAAATAAGTAATTTTTCCAAACTGGTTTCTTACTAAAACAATACTAGATGAGAAGTAATTTTAAACTTCTATCTACGCTACAAATTCTAGTTTTAATTAAATACTGTTCTTATTTTATCCATCCATAAAAATTTTGTACAAAGCATCGTCACTCATTTGTCATATTACATGTATAATTAACGCCGGAAACGCTACTCAATTTTTATTTGTAGTTAAGGAATCTCTGTAATTTTACAAAGACTTTATATTGACAGAACGATACTTAAACACGACTTAAAATAGAGTCCCGTTTGAGTTGGACATACGACGACCTATTGAAGCATTTCAATTCGTTATATAAAAACATATGTTTACCTTATTAAGTTTCCGAAATCAAATTACCTAGTATTTTAGAGAAAATAAAACAGTTATGTTGTAGCATGTCTCGTTTGAGAACTTCCCATTTTGCGTAAACAAGATGGCGCTAAAGTCGTCCAATCAACGTAACTATCACAAATTGACTGAATTTTGCAAATATACTATAGTTTCTAGTGTGTTACCATTACAGTCCTTAATGTTTGGACCAATTCATGTATCATATAGATTGTTTGTAGTAGAATTATTGTTAGTTAGTTTTAGTATTGTGTTGGCATATTCCTCCTTATTAATCATGGAATCATCCTTTGTTACTAATCATGGAAACCAGTAATTGGCTTTTTGTTGCATGCCACATTATTTTTAATCAAATCGTATAGCTGTTGGTTTCTCAAATGTATAGATAAATAAATATTCTGTTGGTTAAAAAACCTAAAACGATTCAATCGCCTGTAGTGGCGTGAACATTCCAAAATACCCAATAAAGACCAATAATTCTGAAACTATCTTAGTACGAGTTTGTTTTACGTTTAAAGCAATCTAAACGAGACCGCGTCAAGCGCCCCTATTGGTCGGCTCCAATGAACCAACCAATCAGAAAGCCGAACGCGGTCTCGTTTCGATTTTCGTACTAAGCCCTCGGATGTAACGATTCTGTCACTCTGCGTTTCACGTACTTATAAATAATTCATAAACAGACTCTTTATAAACCACCCATAGTAACTTCAATCATAATTGATTAAGGCCTACTGTCCACGACACGTCATTTGACGAAAGCATGCAACTTACAAATGACGATAAGCGGGGAGTGACGCAACGTTGCCGCTTCGTGGACAGTTTTCGTTCTTTCTAAGCAAGATGCAAGCACTTTTCACTACTAGGTTGCATGCATTCGTCAAAAACGTGTCGTAGAACCTAAACTTAAGGCTAAGGCTAAAGTGACAAATGAGTGTCGGCTATAGTTCTTAAGCAGCAAAACACAGGATAGTGAAAATTAGAGTAGGGTGACCATGATTTTACATGAACGTGATTAGGAGAATGACACACAAACAAACAACTCCTAGCTTATTCACATACCTGTGGAACATTTTCTATGTAGGGAAGTATACATTGCCTTGGTACGCGGCATATTTTTTTAGCCTTCGGACAAGTTCGGGGCGGCTAACGGATGCCGAGTCGGTTTTGTCTCAATTTTAGAGGAACGTGTGGCTTCCATAGTTTGTTAGGGACGTGAAATTTTGCTTTTAAGCACGAGAAAGGTTTGTCAAATAATTTGGAAGAAAATCATTGTTTTTAAATATGAGATATGGCATATTGAAGTCATTGAGCCGTTTGAAAGAAAATAATAAATATTTATAGAAATTGATTATATTTATCAGTCAGAGCTAGAGGGTATTGGTCTAACAATAAGGGAGAAAATCAATAATTATAGTAATATTAACTTTGATACAAATATTTTTATTTTCTTTATAAAATAATTTACAATTCATTTCTTCTCTATCCTAGCAAAAAAACAACAAAAATGGAAGCCAAACGTTTGATATCACAAAAAAATCATAACAATTACACCACATGTAAAATGAGTCTGCAAAAAACACCGGAAACACCCTACCTAGGCAAGAGAAATTTCAACGATAGTACTTTTAGAAAAAATTACATAATGGCGTAATTTATTATCCTCAAAAAATTAATACACGAACCGGCTCGCACCGTACTGATAGCCGCTTAAGATGCCCGAACGAGTCGACACGTATAAAATCGCGCAAGCCGCCAATATCGCCGCATGACGTCATCAGGACACAATATCGTTAGGACGCTTGCCTCACCTTTCACAAGGTGACACGTCCGTACAACGTGCGTGTGCGGGTGGTCGATGGCCACATCGAAACCTAAGGTCTGTAGAAGTACATTCTCGTTGAATACCAGGTCCTGCGCCTGAAACAATTTAACAATATGCTTTAAAGATGGAAAAAAAATAGGAGAGAAAGTACAAAGTCTAAGTTATTTATTGCAAACATATGTATGTACATAATACAGGATGAAGCTCTTATAATAAAATCAGCAAAGTTCTTTGATATATATTTTTTCAAACATTGCCCCACATTATGATTTTCTCCTGTGCCACGTTGCGCGGTAGCCGGTTGCCCAGCTACCGGACCAACCATGCAGTCAAAATAAGCATGTAATAAAATAAAGATGACAGTAACAAAGGGTTACTTTCCTTATTTTATAGTATTGACCAATCGTTAACAAAAGATTTAGCTTCGGAAGAAAGAATTTTCAATATCAAAATTGTCAATATGTGCGGATTGCTATAGGACTGATTCCTAAAGCAATCCGCTAGTAGGCTGAGCCTCCGCTACATAAGAGGGGAGGTTGAAAATTGCAGTTCAAAAAGGTCAGAGTGATTACTCTTAAAACCAATCTCAATGCAATCTCAATCCAATAAAATCTCAATAATTATTTAATGTCAAAATTATACAACCACAATCGTGGCTGTTAAAATAGCATTCAGAGTACGGAATATAAAGCCAAACTCAATACCATTTAGTTAATTCAATATCCACGCAATACGGATGCAATGGACGCTAGTATTGGTACTCAGCCCCCTGAAGGTTGCAGGTTTATGAAAGAATGCTGCTGCCGGGTCTCTGTCAAACGTAAGGGACTACCCCTGTCTATTTTTATGACACATATGGAGACTAGATGTGGTCAAATATAATCTTTTGGTAAAACAATATGATAGTTTCCTAAATTTTATTTTATTTTTCTTTTCTCACAAAATTCAATACTTTCGACAATGCCACATTTTGTAGCACGTTATGACGTAACAACCTCCCACTCCTAAACTTAGCGCCATTTTATCTAAGTATTGCAACTTAATACGAGAAAATAAAAAAATACGTGTCTAATATTTTTTCATTATCTAACTGACGGACTAATTAGATTTTTAATTTTGATACCCTGGAAACTCCCCAATTTATGTAATATTCTATTAATACAATAACGAGCAATATCTGGACTCTGGACAGTGGGCAAATAATATGAGATAATACATATAATTCTAAATTCGTATTATTTTGCCTAAGATAAGCTGTTATCCGAAAAATACTGTGATAAATAGCATATTATAAAAAAATGGTATCACTGATATTTCCTTGTATTATAAAATATGACTAATCGGGGCACACAATAACAGACAGATTTAGAATAATTCACTACGGAATAACTGAATTTATTTATTTATTTATTTGTTCATGTACACACAGACAATACACAGAAAAAATATATATAATAACAAAACAGAGGTACATAGGTACTGCAATGCTGAATTTAGTGTTGGATTTAAATATAACTTCTTGCCCCCATCTGTAATCCCCAAAAAGCTGGCAACACAGTTGTAACTGCTAACAATCTATGTTATAGATTAGGTGAGACCGATTGCTTACCATCAGGTGAACTGTTTACTCGTTTGCCAAATTACCCCATAAAAAATTGATTAACTCCCTATTATATGGGATTTGCAACAGAACTGGTAAAGAAGTGTTACATTATCCAGCGGATCTGCACGTCCGCCTCAGGATTGAGGGCTATGACAAATGATCCAAATAATATAACTTTGGCAAGAACCTATCCGATCTAAATAAGATCAAATGACGTCACGGCGATGCGTGCTAATCCACATTAAAGCGAGCAACGACTAGCACGGACGATTACCAGCTAAACACGAAGCGACACGCGAGGTATTGAATAACACAGGCGTGCCCTATGACTAGAAAATAATTTAATATCTTTTATAATCTGGCCAGCACGCCATTCAGTTTTAAAGCGTTGTCTAAGACTAGGATTTTCTCCTGTGTCGTAGGTGCGTTTACAAACATACAATCTAAATGAATAAAAGTTAATTTCCATTCGTTAGTCTCGCTAAAACTCGAAAACAGCTGAACCGAGTTGGCTAATTTTGGGTTTGGCAATGTTCGTGGAAGTCCAGGGAAGGTTTAAAAGGTGAACATTTTTTTAGACGATACTAAGTTTGCCGGGTCAACTAGTTTATAATATATCACACCCAGAACCGGAACAGCCATTTGTGGACCACATAAATAATTGTTTCGTGCGGGAACGAGATGCACTGCCATCATGCAACTATGACCCACAGATTTTGTAAGGATAGGGATAAACAAGTAGACGGATCATCCTGATGGTAAGTGATGAGCGCCCATTGACACTTAAAACAGTCATGTACGATGTCACGAATCAAGTTGAGTACTCGAGATACGATACTAGTCTTTTTTTGAGGGGGGAAAATCATCCAATGACTTCTCCCGCCCGGGTGAGGCGAGAGGGAATGTCAGACTCTTACTGACTAAAAACCACCCCGTTCCTACTCCTGCACTTCGAGCCGGAGCCCTGACAACCCGTTAAGTCCTCCGCGGCTGCGTATACGACACTAGCGTGATATTTACAAATCCCGATAAATTGGTCACGTGTATGATTTTTGAATTTTATGAGGAGAAAATCATGAAATCGCTTCTCCCGCTTTGGGTGCAGCCAAGACGAAGTGAGATTCTTCCTAACTAAAAACCATCCCGTTTCTATTTCGGTGTAGACCTGAAGCCCTGGTAAACCCGTTAGACCATCGGCTACTCCGAGTCGGACATCAGCCCTACTGGGCTCCATCTATAGTGGCTTTTGGAGGCGTGCGGTCTATTAATTTCTCAGAACACCGGCTGACCAGCATCACGCGAGGTTCATAACAGACTTGAACACCAACTCTACTATTGAAAGTATTAAAACAATTGTACCTGTTCTTGATATTGTTCAGGCGTCAGGGCAGTGAGGCTTTCACCTCGGTGGAGGCAAACATGTGCCACTTTTATAACATATTCTAATTTTCTTGGCTGCTCCTCCACCTGGAAAACAATATACAAATTAATTACGTATTTACTAGAATAAATTAAAACATTTACAACTAAATAAATATGATACGTTCTTTGTCATTAAAATCAGGTGTTTATTAATGGGTAAATGACCTGTTAAGTGTAAAGTTTGTTTTGGAACTGTCTAGAACTCGATAGCAGCGCCACCTACGTACTAAAGTCTATACCGCAATTTTATTGTAGTTATACTTTACTAATATCGATCGTGCTTACGAGAATTACCTAATTCTGTATTGTTATCATTAATCAATACATAGTATAAAACAAAGTCGCTTTCGTTGTATGTCCGTATGTATGCTTAGATCTTTAAAACTACGCAACGGATTTTGATGCGGTTTTTTTTAATAGATAGAGTAATTCTTAAGGAAGGTTTATATGTATAATACATGCATATTGCACCCGTGCGAAGCCGGGGCGGGTCGCTAGTATTTTATATGCTACTATTGTCATCTGCCTCTACAACTCTGCATTTTGAACCGACTTCAAAATAAAGAGATAACGCAATTCGACTGTATCTATGCTTAAAGTACTGAAAAGACCCTTGAAACTTATATACTTCTGATAGCACATCTAATAAAACTCTCATATAATATACTTATTGACATTTACAGATTTACTACGACAACTATAATTATTTAAAAATCGTTACGTTGACCTTGAAAACCCACAAAAATTGTATAGTCTAGTTACCCGTCTAGTAAATCAAGGTTGTCTGCGTCTATTTGATAAATTCACGATCAACGTGGGCGTATTGACTGTAGTATTTTTTTCTATAATAAATATAGACGTAGTACGTTTGATAAAATATCTGTTGGGGTCCTCTCTGTAGTAATTACTATGTGCGCATCGTTCGCTAGTTTCAACTACAATGTTTTTGAAACAATTCATTGTCAAATATGAAGAATAATTTATTAACAAACTACGTTAAGAAAAGCCGACTTCAACTCCCTGTATTTACAGTCTGTTAATTAATATACTAAACCTTTCTCCCAAATGTAACAAACACTTCTGAAAACCACTTTCGAAATCAGTTCAGCCAATCGCGAGATAATCGCGAACCTTCTTTTTTGAAGTCGGTTAAAAATAGAGAGGGTAAATACGTATAGATACGTAGGCAGACAATATTTACACCTTTAAAAAATGGTAATAAAAATGAGATTAAGGCATCAAAAACCAAATTAATTTTTATATATTTGTATTTATTATTTTAATATTAGTTTAAATTTAGTCTAATCATCTTTGAAATATATTTATTATTAAAGAATAAAGAATTAATTTAGAAAACAACACAGAAGGGTCAACCATAGCGTAGCTTGAATAAAAGTATGACAATCCGCATGTTTTAAGTTAAAACCGGCGTTCAGGTGATGTAAAAGAAACGTCTGTTTCAAAACATTCGTGCCCTAAATACAAAGGAATTCGTCTGAGAGAACCCCAAGCAAAAATTGGAACGCGATGCTAAAATAAATTGTAATGATTTCCGGTGTCTAAACTAAGAATCTCCTTAGCCCTGTATTGGGCCTCTCACATATTAAAAAAAAATAATTACTGCTTTCGAGTCCGAAAAAGAAGTTTTGAGATCGATTAGTATCTTAAAATTCTCAGTTAGCAAATCATTCAAGGATTTTTGTAATTCTCATGTATAAAATTGAGCCCACAAATAACCAATAGGGTTCAGCATCAGCCTGTAAGTGCCCGATTGCTGGGCAAAAACCTCTCCTGACACGAAGAAAGATAAAGCATTAATCGCCAGTTGGCAAAATGCTCTCTTAAATGAGACTTTATAACATAACTAATATATATAGGTAGGGGTCCTATATTCTGCAGCCGAATTTATAGGGACTAAGGGAGATGTAAATGTTATTGACAAATAAGTGTCCAATATCGCTAGTAAGTCCCAATTCAAGCGACATTTGAAGGGTGTTGTAGAAGTTATAAAGTTAAAAACATACCTTTGCGGCGAGAAACAATGCGGCTGCAGCTATTGCGTTCCTGTGGAACTGTGTGAAGGAATGGAACGCATAGAAGCGATGCATGTATACGATCGCCGTGTTGATACATAGTTGAGAGCTGTAGATGGACTGGTTAAGGAACTATTTCTTTGGTATACACAATGAAATACAAATAAAAAAACAAATATATGAGTCATGTGCTTCAGTATTATCGACAATTATCTTTTTCGGTTAAAATTAACAAATACTGAGTAAAAGAAGTGTAACTATTGCGCGTTGATGCGTTTGTAAGTGATTTGTTTCTTCTTTGGTGATTTTCTGGCTCGTTTTCTACATTTTCCAAGACATACATCATCATCCAAAATGTAAAGTCTAGTCTAAGCTATCGATTTTCCATTCAGTCATCTATTTTTTCGCAGTAGTAACTAAGTAGGTCATTTACTATCTTTCACACATTCTAATACAATTAACCTCCACAGAATTTGCAGTTTAGCTAGCATTTAATTTTAGTACAATCGAGTTCAAGTGACTCATGCATGAACAGGAAGCCAAAACGAGTCCAAACAAGACCGTTTTTAAGCACTTAACATGCATACATTGCATACAGATATACAGGTAAAATTATCGAGAAACTGACGCGAATTCGATTTCGCAAACCCATTAATGGGTCCTTGGAATTTGGGCTCGTTAATTTAAAAAAAAAACCGGTACCACCTGGACGGCTTGATTAAAGTTTCACGTACGATCGAATAAAAGGTTCTCATTGGTCAGAATTTATAGGACTACATCACACGGCTATCAATCAACCAATGATAACGCGTCAAATGATTGACGTGACACATTAATTCCTATTTGTACGGATAGATGTCGCTACTAGTAGTACAATAGTTTGTATGGCTATCAAATCGTAGTTTTATTATTCTTGTATACGGAATGTTTGTAATTTAGCATTAAATTCAAGGTCGCCGATTGTTAATAACATTCGTGCTATTTCTTACTCCATTGATAACTGATAACCGCATAGTACACGATTGCTTACAAATACCTTTTAACTTTTATTACTACGAAGTCGCAACGTGAAGGATTATTGTTAATTCGATTAGAAGCCATTTTGGTTTGAATTTGCGGAGCGAACACGGAAACAATTTTCGTGTGAAAAGATTTTTCAACGATTAATTTACACGATTCGTTAACTTATATTTTCCTGGACATGCTAAAGAAGAGCTCTAAACCCTATGATTTGGTTCATGGCGGTAAAATTACCAATAACTTAAGAAGCGGACTTCGGCAACATTATAATATGGTATTGCTATATAAGTTAAATTGCTACTGCTGACAATCAGTAAACATTTATCATAAAGTCAAAAACATTCTTAAACATAATTTAAGACTATTTTAAACAAGTTTATTGGACAAGAATGAATTATTTGCTTGTTAAACATAATTATCAGACTACTGACTACAGACGAACACTGAATCAATGTCAAGGCAGCGACGCCAACCTCTTTAGAATAAGACGATGACCTTATTTCCATATTCGAAAAAAAAGGCGGGAAATGAGAAAAAAAGCACGTTGATTATGCATAGTTTTTATATACGACGGAAACTTGAATATTATTTTGTGAAGATAATGAATTTGGTTAGTCTTGATCTTCAATTTAGGTTTTTAAAGGATACTGTTATTTTACGTAAAGCTCGCTAAGGTCCGTATGAACTGAAGATGATGCAGCTGTAAGTACTTAGCAAGTTCCACGCACAATCATGCGTTGAGTGAACGGATGCTTGCAAAAAAAAGTCCGCCATCTTATTTTTTTCATATGACCCAGTTGTAACACTTTTTCAAGTGTTAAAATTGAGGTGGGGGCAAATCTTCGCCATAAATTGCTCGGCAATATCAAAATCTGTATTTTTTGTTCAGAAAATTAGATTACAAATGGTATTAGAAGATATATTTCAAGTTAAACAAGGTGTTAAAATAATTGCAAGGTTAAATATGAGTATTTTAACTAGAAAATTAGGCCTTGACCCTGTCGAAACGGTAGCCTCTGTAAATTCGTGTACGCACAAACCGGCGTCACCTCATGATTTAAAAATAACGAGAACTTTGCCCCGCGTCCAAACACGTGAGGTACCACGGAAATTGCCAGAATTCCTTTAAGACATTTTTAGAAGTTTATTTCGACATAAATTAGGGAAAATTTTGTCGGTAAAACTGTCAGTTTTAAGACTAAACTATGAAATTGGTTTAACTCATTAGTAAGTTAGTGTGGTTTCAATGTCCTCAAACATACCGAACAAAAATAGCATGCAGATCTGAAATGAGTTTCTGAATTCCCCGATTCTGTTTGGGACTTCCCGCTTGCGTCAAATGCACTCAAGAGTGACGTCAAGACCACAAAACAATAAAATACGTACAAGGAACATTCTAGAACATATACAATTGTAAGTTTAACTGATGGAAGATAACTTTCACTTAGTGAAAGTTAGACCAAACCATGAACTGACTTTCTAAAATGGGGGCAACTGTTAGGCATTTTGTTATGGGGTGTCCATTTACCTGAAGTTGTAATTAACGACCATTTAAATAGCTTGTCTTTTAAAAATTGGTTCAGTTTTGTCTTAGAAGCGTCCGCCATTTTGATTTAGTCTTTTGGACTGCAATAGAAATATTTTGCAACAATGTCTTGTATTTTTTTAACCCAGCATTGTTACAATCATAGACCGCCTTTGCCTGGGTATTTCATACCATTGCAGATACAAAAAAACCTTTTCCTTTCGATACAAAAGCGTATTTGTATTGAAAAATTACCTGTTCTACCCAACTATAGTTCAGTAAACCATAACAATAACATTTAGCAAAACGGTTGAGAGACGCCATTTATGATTCACGACTATAACCACCTGTATTTGCTCGTCCTCTATTACAATTTAAGTACAACCGCCAATTTCTCAATCGATTCAACCTTACCGTATTGTTATAAGGTCGACAATCTATTGACTCATTGGAGTAAGTCGGTACATACATAAAAGTCAACAGGTGAAGTCGAATATACAGATGACAGCAGGTCAATCTACTTTTTTTCTGTCCTTTATTGGATTTCCACCTATATCATTTTGATATAATGTTGAAATTCCAATGAACAATTTAGAGATTTGAGTTACTACTATCTACTTGTACTACGCACTTATTCGCTTAGTAAATATATGTAACGGTTGTATGTTAGTGTACTCAAATAACCGATTCGTTTGTCTAGTGATCATATACGGTATTCATGATTCTTTCTTAGACTGTAATAGGACCTGATACACGAAAATATAGTAATATACAGAATAGAATATAATTACATGTGGCCATACATGTGGCACCACCTCTACTCCTCTCGCGGTTTTAAAAAAGAACCTGGTTAAGTCAAAGTCAGAGCATTTATCTTAATTAATTCTTAATTAGGCACATTTGAAACGTCAAAAATTGAATTAGGTACTTGCCTTCATCAAAAATAATTTATTTTCGACTGTTCAATACAATAAAATATTAAAAAATAATCACACTTTCATTAATTAATTTTATGACCAACTCTATTTTAATATTTTTCCATCAAATTTAAAAAAAATAAGTATTCTGTTTGACAGTAAAAAAAGGTGACGTCACAATACACCACCTCGTACAAAATTCATACAAAACTGTCGTTTTTTTTTATGGAATAGGAGGCAAACGAGCAGATGGATCACCTGATGGTAAGCGATCAGCGCCGCCCATGGACACCCGCAATACCAGAGGAGTCAAAGGTGCGTTGCCGGCCTTTTAAAAAGGAATACGCTCTTTTTATTTGACAGTTCGTTTTTGTCCGTCCGAGCCGTCTGCAAGTGAAGCTAAGTGTAAGGGAATACTCAACACTTTTCACAGAGGCAGCTCTTTTGAATAAAATTGATTCTTTTAATTAAATTAATATCGTTATAATATGTGTAAGGAGGTTATGCCAAACTCTTTCATGTCGAGAGAACCCATAGTTCAGAAGAGGACTATCAAGGAGTATTGATGATACGAAAATGGCTTAGATTGTTTTGGTATTTTTTTTCATATGAAAATAACATAATTTCTATTTTTTATGCCCTATGACTTTACAAGGCAGTCAACGGATCAGCAACACAACACATTCATTACTTTTCTAGGCTAATTTGTTATAAAAAAACAAGTACCATAGTGCCCTATAAACATAAGAAACGGCAATTACTGCACTGATTTATAGTTTCCTGGAAAAAACACAGCAAAGATGTACTTGTTAAGTCAACAATTATATTCTAACAAACTTCTTTACCTACAATTACTGTATTAAAACTAATATAAATATGCATAAAACAAGGAAATCCATGAAACAATATACATAAAATCATTGCACAATATAGCTAAGCATACATATTATATTGTATGACTCAATATTTTTCCTGCTAAATATTTGTCACAAAAACATATAGTAGCATAAATAAATACCTATAACGAATTTATCTTGATGACTCGATGAATCATACAAGTCTGTATGCAAAGTAGGACTTCATATTTGATTGTAAAAACATAAAAATTATTTACAGTTGATATTGTTAAGTTTTACCGTTTGTGGTACTATTGTGGTAAGTGGTAGATTTGCGGACATGTTTAGCTAACTAATTTTAGTGTTTGGTAAGGTATTATTGGGTGTTTAAAATGGTCAGTAATATAATTTACCGGAGGCCTAGTTATCTCCCTAATCAGCACAATCCCCGATCTTCAAAAGTTCAAATCACCAACCCCAAGAGACCAACAACACGCTTGTAACTTTTCTAATATTTCGGATGTCCATAGATGTCCGTTAGTTGACTTGTATCATAAAAAGGCCTGGAGCCTGAATGGCCTAATAGCATGGCAATATTAGTATTATAGCTCATCCTCTATAAAAGAGAATCTTAATGGCGAAAAGTGGATGTTAAATTTCATTTACTATACTACTTCTGCCTATTCGTCTTCTTTCGATTATGAATATGTGGTGATAAATAAGTGTTACCTATATTCTTAAAAAAGTAGTGTATTAGATTTTAATTTCTGAAACTTCTTTTTAGGAGGGAACACCGTCTAATTACCTCTCG